GTCTATCGGTTCGGAAAAACAATGGCAAGTGCGCTTTTCTTAAGCGAGTAGGTGTATGTTTGTCTCACCGAAAGCTAAATATGATATTCCTTGATATTATTTCTGAAATTTAAAAACCACGTACTGACCTTATGGGCATGTTATGTGCTAATCAAATCAATTTTAATGAAATGAAATTGAAGTAAGTGTTGTCATCTACAAAAACAAAAAATGATAATAAAAACAAAAATTGAACCTTAAGGAAAAGCTATTCTGAAAAAGATAAAGAATTTCAACGAGTAAACACAATCAATCTATATGGTTTCTCTGATAGCACCATTACGCGACAGAAGAACATTGAGTGAGACGACTTAGTGCGATTTTTCATCTGTCTTTAAGAGCAACAAGTGTATCCCTTAGACTATGTTTTTACCGATTTTCAGCGGTATACATTCCCTGATCAGATATTGAGTGATATGGGGATCTGAATACAGGCGTTGCATGCGCGAGAAGACAGTACATATCGCGTATTTCAAAGTCCTCTCATGTGTAATTTTATTGTAAGAAACACAAATTGTTATTTGGTTTCAGAAGCGAACATTTGCTCTAGTGAGTGGTTGTATGTTTGTCTCACTGAAGAAAAACAAAATATTTCTTGAAGTCAGTCGTGGTCAGTTTAAAGCCTCTGATATGGCCATGGTGGTGTTTATCAAATGCTTTTAATGAAACACAATTACAGCAATGCGAGCAAAATGAAAGAAAAAACGAGCAAATATCTTAAGCCCTATAGTTCATCTGATAACATGCATCATTACAGGAAAGACGAACGTTTATGGAGAACATTAAGGTAATAAGTGTTTCCATTTTTTTCACAGATTTTCTTGGGTTTACTTTCTTCAAAGCCCTTATATGAATCAAATATGTGTTAAGCTAAATAGGGCATTCTTGAGTTTATTTTTTACAGATTTTCAAGGGTCTACATTGCATGATCAGATATCGGGTGATGAGGGGATCTCAATACAAGGAAGCAATACGTATTTCCTATTCCAAAGTAATTTTCATTCCATCCAAATTTGTTGTTGTACAACCCATACTTACAAAACAAATTTTCTCAAATCTTTCATAGCTGGCCTGCTAATCTTCGCTATATATAGAAAAAAAGTATCGCTGTTGAATAGACGAATAAAAGAAAATTCATGAGTTTTACAATCATTTAACTGATCAAAGCTGCAAAAATGAACAAACAAAGACGTTAATTGCAGAATAAGTGCTTCCTATTTCTCAAAATCCGGTTTTCAAAAAAAAATATATGATTGTAAATATAATCAAACTGTATGGTTTATCTGTTTAAAGTATTACACGACAGACCCAATATCTTTAAGCCTTACAAGTGTATACTTAAGTCTATTTTTTACAGATTTCTGAGGGTCTAGATTTTATCATCAGACATCGTGTGAAATGAGGATCAAGCCCAAAAAATAGATTTTAATATCACCCAGAAGGGAATACATATGTTTAACTATGCAGCTTTGATAAGTTAAATGATTATAAAACGCATGGATTTTTCTTCATCTTTCTTTTCAGTAGTGACATATCGTTTTCTGTATGTACCAAAAGTAAATGGCTCATTAAAGAATTGAGCACATTTTTTGTAAAAATAGGTTGTGCGGCAACAAATTTAAACTAACAATTGGGGGATGGAGTGTAAATTACTTTGAAATGGAAAAGATGCATTGCTTTCTAGTCTTAACTATCAAGTGCAATATTTCACTCACGTGTTTACAATGGGCCAACAAAAGGAGCAGCTCTCAGTTCGCTTGTTGGTGGAGCAGTGCACCGGTATCGCAGAGGTCATGGGTTTAAATCCTGTACAAGCTTAATAAATTTTTTCAGGTTTTTTTTTCTCTTCTCTCTTCTGCTCGAAAATTGTTCATAACTGCGATGATCACTTTTATTCTTTAAGCTGCACTTCAAATATATCATATTCATGTATTTACAGTCGTTCTATATGTCCCTTAGATAGCCAAAATACAACCATTTATTTGCGTGAACATCATTCCTACCATCTGATAAGAAATTCTACACCAATACTTCATAAAGTGTCATATAAGGAAGCACAATACGTGGCTGGGTAGTCAGCCAATTTTCATGTTCCCCCAAACTTTACTTACATCCACCATTTTGAACACCTCCACGATGTTTGTTCGAATCGCACTTTTTCCAACCTAGTTATTATATAGTTAAGGATAGTTAAACCTTCTCTAGCGCGAGTTTAGATTTGTTGCAATAAAACCTTACCTCCTCCGTGTTGAGATTCCAGGGGTAACCTAATCGTTCGAAAATTGCAATTAAATTTGGTAATGATCTGAACATAGATGCCACCAAATCTAAACGGTACAAAAAAAAAACAGCTGCTGCTTTTGTTGGCGTAAAAAAATAATATTTTTAAGCTAAAAATGCCTTTTTGTTTACCTTCTAAATGCTCCAACAGACTGCCAAGAGATGAAAGGAAGGAAAAAGATGTAGGTTATTTTTTAGTACGTTATCCAAATGTCGGGTACCGAGGGACTCTCGAATTTGACGGTTCTCCAAAACACAATTTTACCAAGATCCAACTTCACCCCATTCTGTGTAACTCTGGTCAATCTCCTAGACACTCACACTTTGGTTCTCACTACATGTTTCTCAATGAATAATGCTGCTAAACACTCGCTTCAACTACGAAATTGTGTCTCTACTCTTCTGTGTATTGTCTACATTCTTCTCTACTAAGAAAGCTCCATAAAAAGCTTTTAAGATAGATATGTGTGGGTATGCCAGCTGGCCGATCTTGGCAGATGAAACATTTGTTGTTAAAACACTTACCTAAACAACTCCACAATACTTTTGAAATGTACGTCGATCTACTCAGTGCTTCCGATGAACTGATTCAACTTCTGACTGCGTTTGCCAAAAAAATTAAGAACTTCCGTCCGAAGCAAGGTCAGAAGACAAACTAAGTACTTCCACTTATGGAAGACAAGACCGTCGCAACTTGGAAACTCATCACTATAGCTCACTCCTAAGTAACTTCGGACTTTCAATTTATGCATAGCAACCAAATTCTAACTATAAAAGAATTACTAAATCCTACTGAAAAGACTAACTAATCTAAACTGACTGACCAACTAAATTAGCTAGATTCCCTTCATAACAGTTTAAACGCAAGTTCAGTGCTTGAATTTCATTTTTACGTGTTAGAAGAGGAAGTGCAAATTCTCATATGGCTTCTGAAGCGTACATCTTAAGCCAGTAGGTGTATGTTTGTCTCACCGACAGATACATAAAATATTCCTTTATATCATTTCTGAGATTTAAAATCCACTGATCATATGGGCATGGTATATGCTAATCAAATCTATTTTAATGAAATGAAATTGCAGTAAGCGTTGTCATCTGCAAAAACAAAAAATTATAATATAAACAAAAATTGAACATTAAGGAAAAGCTATTCTGGAGAAGATAAAGAACTTCAAAGGGTTAACACAATCAATCTAGTTGGTTTCTCCGATAACATCAATACACGACAGAAGAACATTAAATGGGACGACTCGGTGCGATTTTCGTGAGTCTTTAAGAGCAACAAGTGTATCCCTTAGACTGAATATATCAACAAAGTTGAAATGGTAAATTGGCCACCGTTGCGATTATAAAAGCTGACGTTTAGAGCGTTAGCCCTTCGTTTCGAGCGTTAGCCATTCGCTCCGACGAAGGGCTAACGCCCGAAACGTCAGCTTTTATCATCGTAACGGTGGCCAACTTACCATTTCAATTTTGTTGATATATTCAAATTATTTCGTTATCCCCACCGACGCAGCCCCAAACAGTTTCTTTAGAAACTATCAGCCTTTATTCATATCCCTTAGACTATTTTTTCACCAATTTTCAGCGGTATGCATTCTCTGATTCAATATCGAGTATTGCCTATTTCAAAGTCATCTGAGGTGAAATTTGACTGCAAGAAACACAAATTGTTATTTGGCTTCTGGAGCGAACACCTCCTCTAGTGAGTGGGTGTAAAGTGTTTGTCTCACCGATGGAAAACAAAATCTTTCCTAAAGTCAATTATGGTCTTTAAAGCCTCTGAAATGGCCATGACGTTGTTAATCGACTGTTTGTTAATGAAATAAAATTGTAGTAAAATAAGCAAAATGAAAAAAACTTAAACCTTAAAGAATTCATATGGAAATCATTTTGAATTCAAATGAGTAAATATTTTAAGCCATATAACTCATCTCATAACACGCTTCGTTACAGGAAAGACGAACATTTAGGGAGAACATCAAAGTAACAAGTATATTCTAATTTTTTTTTTTTTAACAGATTTTCTTCGGTTTCCATTCGTTAAAGCCTCTGATCTGTGCCAATATGTGTTAAGGTAAATAGGGCATTCTTGAGTTTATATTTTACAGATTGTCGAGGGTCTACTTTGCATGATCAGATATCGGGAGATAAGGGGATCTCAATACAAGGAAGAAATACGCATTTCCTATTTCATAGTAATTTACATTCCATTCAAATTTGTTGTTGTACAACCCATGCTTATTGAACAAATTTGCTGAGGTCTTTCATGGCTGGCCTGCTTATCTTTGCTATATATAGAAAAAAATTATCGCTGCTGAATAGATGAATAATAGAAATCCATGAGTTTTACAACTATTTAACTCGACAAAGCTGCAAAGTTGACCAATATTGTAAATTGCAGAGTAAGTGCTTCTTCATTCTTAAAATATTGTTTTCAAAAACAAAATTTAAGATTGCAAATAATATCAAACTATATGGTTTGTCTCTTAAAATCATTACACAACGGACCTAATACCTTTAAGCATTACAAGTGTATACTTTAGTCTATTTTTTACAAATTTCTGAGGGTCTACACTTCATGATCAGATATCGAGTGAAATGAGGATCGGACTCAAAATAAAGATTTTAATATCACCCAGAATGGGGCACATAAAAGCAGTGAGCTTTGGGGCTCCTTGCATTTTAGAGGTAAAGTTCCAACGGAGAGGTCAAAATGAAGACATCTCTTACTTTGGCTTTCTTTGCCTTTGTACTCGCTGTTGGCTTGTCAGTCGCGGTACCTGAAAATGAGTTTGCCGAGATAGCAGATGAATTTGAAGCAGAAAAACTTCGGGGGTAAGTAGGATCACGAAAATTAGCTATAAATGATACATAGAACAACAAAGTAGATTTCATTAAGATGCCACATTTTCCGAGTTTCTCCTGTTTCTCCGCGAAGAAGAATAGCAAACTAGATTGTGGTGAGACCTGGCAATTCCTTGGAAGACAATTTATTTAGCTAGCATAGGGGAAGCTGAGATTTATAAAACAGTTTGTCTAAAAATATTCTGGAATCAAAATTTAAGTTTTTAAATAAATTGTTATTCTTCTGAAAGTGAATTATGCTTTAAACTTTTTGGCAACTTTAGAGTGAAGCAGTATAAATGGTTTTATGATCTTTCTTTTTTTCATTTATGCTTTAGCGGATACGACATGAAAGCGAACGAGGGAGAGTTCGACGAGGAAGACCTAGAGGACGAGGATATGGTAATCCCTGCAATGTACGTCGTGGAAGAGAAAATTATTCTGATTACTTTAGCAAGACTGACAGTCTTGGAAACTTGCACAGTCAAATGTTCCGAGTGGGAAGTCTCAGCGAAAATTTAAAATTAGTGAATTTTAACTAGTCAATCAACACTCAGTTTCTCCAGATAACTGAGGAGAATTTGTTGCATTTGTTGTGACATCTGCAAATGGTTAGATGTTGTAGTCTTCTCGGATAAGGATGATAAAACTTCTCCTGAGTCTTCTCTGTAATGGTTAGCAAGAACCTACACATTTCTTGCCATGATGGGGAACATAACTCCCGGTGTTGTATTGTGGTCTGACTTTGTTATTGATTATGCAGGCCCGCATTTAAACCAGCTTTGATAAATATCCATGCAATTCGTTGACGGTTATCTTTTGCAATCTTTTTTCGTTCACCCAGTGAAAATGATATGGTAACCGAAGACGAGCAGTTTGACGAAAGAGCATTCGACAATGACGATGATGGAGACGACGTTAGTGACGAAGATGACGTAAGCGCAGTAGAAAAGTCAGCTGACCCCATTCGCTTTAGACGCGTTACACGCAGATTGGGACGTAGAGTCAGACGTCTTATTCGTCGTCGTCGTCCTCGGCCATTTCGTCGTGTTCGTCGAATAATTCGTCGTGTTCGTCGTCGATTTCGTCCTTTTCGCGGTTAACAAAGACCATTTAAGTGAAGGTGAGTGGAAATAAGAAATAGGACGTGCAGCTGGTTTTGTCTCTTTTAGTGATGTTAGCAAGGGCAAAGCAACTGAGAATATACGCACATACCCAAATTCTTACGCCAAGATCCCATGATCTAGAAAATGCATCTCATTTACAAGTTGATCTGCGAAAAGCGTCTGTTATTTTAATTAATCGGCTAAGTTGCGTTCCTGAAATTACTTAATACTTACTTTTTTCTTGTTTAGATCGTTTCTTCATCATTCCTTCCTGAAGTAAAATTGTAAAGGTCTTCAAAATGAAGAGACCCTTTGCATCTTTGTTGTACAGCTATTGGAAGATAAAATATATAATAAAACTGCATATTCG